ACACTCGGGCCAGCCAATAACCGATCAAAGGGACTATCCCCGCGGACCAATCACCGCCGCCGGTACGTCCCACCTCACGCGGAGGACGGTGAGTAGAGAGCATTTCAGCACCTGGGAGCTGTCCGCTGTGCACGAGCCCACTGACAACTGACGGTAAGAAGAAAAACAGACCCACGGCAGCCACCCGCGAGCTCCGTAACACCACTGAACCCACGGCCACGACACACAACGCATACATGTAAAATGCCGCTGAGAGCGCGTTAATATGAGCAACCTGCCGCTGTGCTGAGGTACGGACGGAGCACATCTGCGACACTGTAGTGCCTCAATAACACACTGTTTCCTCGCGGATTAGTTTGTGCCGCTGAAACCTGTTGATGCCATTTACATATTGTTGAAATATAACGGAGAACAGACAGAAACCGAACGCAGAATCCGCGTCCGGCTGCGAGTGGTGGCAGCAGTTTGGGATGAAAAATAGCTCGTTAGTAGCTCCCAAACAGGGTTAGCCTATTGATTTAACTAACGCTGCTTCACATGAGCATTTATTTTAGGCTATCTTACTATTATGATCCTGTCTGAGACCAAGTGCTTGTGTTAATAATAGATACCAACACCAAGTGAGAGCGGTTGTGGTGATTTGCATGTGAGAAATATGTCTGGCGTCTGGGAAACCGGGTCCTTTATGGGCTCAAATAAATCAATGAAATGCTGAAACAACGCTTATATGCAACGTAGACGTAGCTCTAACCTTTCAGCCACATTTAGCTCAGTGTGTTAGACACCGTTTTCACCTGAGAACGACCCAAACCGTGCGCTTACCGGGAAAGAAATCACCTGAGGAGGAGACCTGTGTAAAGGCTAACGATGACTAGCCGTGCTTAAGGAGCTGGACAGCACCGTTGTTCTATATGAGTATGTGCACAATTTTAAGAGTCAAATATATTATTTGAAAATAGCGACATTCCTTTTCCTGACTGCACCTTCATAGTGTTTCTGTGGATGATCTTGATGAAGCAGCTTTTACTAGTCATTTTAAGTGACACTAACTTCATTAGTTTCAGAAACATTCCTGATTTATACTTTTTACTAGGAAGTGTTGTTTTCCTGTTAACTACAAGTGAAGGGTTATTATATTGGACTAGTAGCATTTTAATGAATTTCTCTCCCAACCCCAAGCGGTCCGGAACTAACCATAAATAATCACATTCAAGTCGATCAAAGGCTTTTTCCCACCTAAAGATAAAATGGCACATGAAGTGTATAACATGCAATAGGTGACGTATATTGTCTTGTTTTGTCATATAATTTCTAGGTATTTTGTTTTCACAGTATAAATAAATATTACAAAATCATGTCAGTGTAAAATTACTTGATCAAGAATGTTTTCTTAACTTCCAAAATTTAGTTTTGCTTCAAATCTTTTGTCAGTTGTCTCAGTTATTTTAACTTATCTGGTTTTAGTGTGTACTGTATATAGAAGATCCCCTTTTAAAGTCTTAATTGCTCTACTGGGGACTCATTTACTTTTAATGGACCTTTTTCATGGCAGACATTTTAGACAAGCACAGCGGTAATTTATAACAGTGATCAAGGCTGAGCCAGGTCCTGCTATTAGTAATGTTACTAGTTCCACCTGTGCTTTTCCTGCTGCCCAAGGTGGGTGGGTGTGTGTGTATGTGGGTGCAAAGTTTTTTATGTCAAGGAACAGAGATGCAGATTAGACCACTAGCCCCCCAATGTGAGAGGGGTTTGTCCTAAGGAATCCCCTCTGAGTATTTCTTTATTTTGGGTTTGAAGATAATAAAGTCTTAATAGTCAATCAATGATCTGACTTGGTTGAAAAATTCTATTCCTCCTTTTGCTGGGGACCCCTTGCAACCCACTCAGGGACCCCTGTTGGTCCCCGAACCTCAGTTTGAAAACCACTGACTTAGGCTACCTTTGGACCCATAACCTATCCTAACCCTAACCACTGACCTACAAATCAGCTTTTTCTAAAAGGACATGGGTTTGGTCCCTAAATTAGACAAGCAGCCCCCAGTTCACTTATCTTTGGTCTGAAATGTGTCCCAAAATGTAGCCTAAGTCAGACCACGCAAACTGTGTGTGTGTGTGTGTG